CCTGCGCTCTTCACACGCCTCCTGCAGGGCATGTTTGGTAAAGTTCCTGCATGCAGGCTGCCGCCAAGCAGAGGGAGTAGCACAGCTAAGGAAAAGGGTAAAAAAAAATGGCGGACGGCGTTGTTTGGCGACCCCTGTGAAATGGTCGTGCGACCCCAAATGGGGTCGCGACCCACAGGTTGAGAACCGCTGCTCTAAAGAGAAAAGCTAAATGAAAAATGTTGCTAATCTACTTCAGATTACCTGGCAGTTGGTAGCAGTCTGTTTTGTGCCCATCGTGACTTGTGCATAGCATTTGTCTAACACTTTTACAGAGACTGACAGCAAATAGAAATGTATCCATTTCTGAAATGCCTGACATAAAAGAGGAATTAGTCTAATTGCTGAAATACAGACTTATTTTAAAATTTAAGAATACAATAACAGAGTTTGTTAATCTTGTAGTAAAGGAAGCTCATCAGAATACAGTATATTGCAAGCAAGGTTGGATCCTTGCCTCGAGTTAAAAGACAATTAAACTTAGTACAAATTTAATTAATGTTTCCCTTGTATGCAATTTCAGCTTTTTTACACTGGGCTCGTTGTTTAATCAACATGAAGAAAAATCTTGATAATTAGCAAAATATAAAGTTCGATAACTAGTTACCAAAAATTAGTTATTGAAAAGTAATCATGTCATAGAAAGGTATTAAGTAATATATTATGTTTTATTCAAGTATTTGAATATATTAATTCCTTTTGCATGAATAATTCTACAAGTCCAGCAATGAAAGGAATTATCATTAAAATTTCTCATGCCTAGAAAGCTGAGCTCAGACTTAAAAAATAAAATGCAGCTGTAGGAATTATATGTCTATTTCATTAAAAAAAAAGTTTGTTGCTTGTAATAATTTAAGTTGCCCTCTCCTTTACACTTCTCCCATCAAAGATATTTTTAAAAAGGTGTGAGATGATTTACTATGTGTTAAAGCTCTGGGAGTGATGGGGTTTGTGTTCATGCTTAAGGTATAAAAGATTGCTGTATTTGAATATAAGTACTTGTCTGTTTCATGCCCTTTACTTTTCTGAAACCTTCATAGCTTGGTTACTTTGGTGCAATGGAGCTTCTGCTTTTTCTTTCCAGAATGATCCAGTCCTCATTTATTGACATGGAGAATATGTTTGAGCTCTTCAGTGAGGAACAGGAGGTAAGGCAGATCATACCTGTGGAGAATCTGTGCATCAGATTATAGCGGAACAGCTTATTTTCCCTTCCTTGTGCATTATAACCCATAGATTATAAACTACAGGTAATTGTTGCTTAATGACCCTATCTGGCACTGGAATTTCTGTCACTAAATAAAGCAGTCCTTAAAGACAACCCATGATGGCACTGCTTAGCTATGGCAGTTTAATTTAGCCTTTCCCAACCTGATGCCATTCAGCTGCTTTGGGACTACATTCCAAAAAGTGGCCTGAACCTCCTAGTTGACAGTTCTAGGAGCTGGAAGTCTCTGCATCAATGATGGACACAAATTGGAGAGAACCCGATTAATTTTCGGGATGTACCTTAGTTTGGCCACTATTGTAACTATTTTTTTTTTAATAGTCAGATTTGAGTTGGTCAGGAGCCAAATTTTCCATTTTCAGACTGATAATTTTTAATCATAACGCTGGCAATGAGATGTGTTACCATTAGAATCTCTAACTGACCCTCTCCAATGTGTGTCTCTGGAATGTACAGATGTGAGGTTCCAGATCAGACTTTTGTACCGTGGTGGCAACTGTCCAGGACTTCCAAAAGAAACCTTTGTTATCGTCTGCTATCTAGCTTTTATTATTGGAACTGCTACGAACTGAATTTTGTGATTGAAAAACAAGTGCTCTACCTCAGGAATGCCATTTCTGTACTATAAATGGCTTCCAAGAGCAACCTC